TATATGTATATAAATTGCAGATTCCAGAAAATGACCTTATTAGTGCCGCCGTGCTAGCTCGTCAGCTAAAAGCCGCTGGGCAAATCTACAAAACCTTAAATCAGGATGTGAATATGGCTGGAGCTTCGGCGAATGTAGGAAGAATTGAAGTGAGCGTAATGAGCAGCAGTGCATCGTCAGCTGAAGAAAGTAGCGCCGACGAAGATGAAAAGCTGAGCGCAGATGAAGAATTGTTGCCGTCGCCAGGGAGCACATACAATCATCTGCAGGCATGGTTGAGCACTATAGATAGCCACACCGTGATGCCGATAGTGATGCCATCTGAATCAGATATGCAAAGTGAGGAGACAGATCACGAAATGGGGGAAGCAGAGGAAGAGCTTGAAGAAGTCGAAGAAGAAGTCGAAGAAGAAGGTGAAGAAGAAGCCGAAGAAGAAGCCGAAGAAGAAGCCGGAGAAGAAGCCGAAGAAGAAGCCGAAGAAGAAACCGAAGAAGAAACCGAAGAAGAGGCAGGGGAAGAATCGGATGGAGAAAATGAAGAAAAAGAGGCGGAGAACGATGAGAAAAAGTCGCCTTTGACCAATACCGGCGTGATGATGGACAGTGATGCAGAAGTGGAGCCCGATTCAACGACAGCCCACACTAATCCCTTTCATGCCGATGAAATGGACGAAGAACCGAAAGAAGAACAAGAAGATGTAAACAACTCTGAAGAGCCGAACGCCGAGAACCAAATGAATAATTTTATGCATCTTGTAGAAGCACGTGCCGCAGTGCCACGTTTTGCAATGGTATGGCATAATTAAGTAGCTCATGAATAGCAACTAATGTTCCCTTTCCTCTTTTCTGTATCCCTAGTCTGATGAAGTCTTCAACGTGGACAAACCCAGTCAAGCCGTTTGCCTTGGCACTGAGTTGTCCAGACCCCAAATTTGGAGTAACTTTAAGTTGGGCGACATGCTCAAGATACATGTGACTGAGGTAATTAAAAATATATAAAACAATCAGGATATCTTGATCTATGCCAATAGATATCAACAAAAGCTTTGGCTTATGTTAAAGTTAATCTTTTTGAATCACTTCTCATATATTAATGTATATTTTAGGCTTACAGCCCCTTTCAATTCTGGTTCCATATTGCTGAGGGCCCCTACGATATTAATTTGCTGGGTCACCTAAGTTTTCAGCTAACGTAATCAATCGAGTCCTTGGCTCAAATTCACTCTCTGCTACTGCTCCTAACTTATTTGCATTTCCCTCTTTCTATGTGCAGCAAATTTTATAACCCACTTCGTCGTGCTACTTGGCAACTGCCCAAATATTTCTTTAAGCGCGGCTACCTTTGCGCCGCATACAATCAGTTCACCTGGCGTCGTGCACGCATTATCCGTGAACCGGAGCCGAATGATGAGGGCGTGAAAGTCTATTTGGTGGACTATGGCAGGGTTTTGGAGGCGCGTGCCAAAGATTTGTTTTTTATGCATATCCGTTTTACCGAACATCCACCGCTCCTGATGCGTGGCACCCTAACCGATGTATATCCGCTGGATCTCCACTGGCCGGCAGCTGCTACATTGAAGTTCCGAGAGCTTGCTAATAGCGAACCCTTGCATGCAACCATCAAGGATATCGATCATGGCGATTGCATTTTATTCGTCAATATATACACCGGTAGTACCACCATTAGCGACCTATTGATCGAGGCCCAGCTGGCCGGACGCAGTCAGAATTATAGCGCCGAAATGCGTGCCGAGAATTGCGGTCGTCGTTTGCGTTATTTACGCGAGCGCCTTCCCACGTACGTTGCCCATCTATATATACTAACTGATCAAATGCCAGTAAACTCATTCGCACTCTCTCTCTCTCTCTCTCTCTCTGACTCTCTCCCAGCTTTGACATGTTGGAGACAGACGTGTTCCAGCCATCGGAGGAATTTGAGGAGCAGTTCGATAATATCATCTATATGCCGACATTCTTTCAGCAATTCGAGATGCCGAAAATGGTTAATCCGTTTCGTCATGACCTACAGAAGGCCTTGACCGAGTGGCTCTCCAAATTCAAGTGCGAGGAATTGTGCTGGCGTAAGGTAGTCGATGACTCTAACGAGAAGATAAAAGAGGAGAAGCAGAAGCAAGTGGAGCCATTAAAGAACAATGAATCCAAAGATTCAGATGAGCTGTCAGTTTAACTACAAGATGAACTCTACAACTTATGGAAAAGGTTTTTAAACTGACAAACTTGCATGTTTGATACATTCGTGAAGCGATTATATAATGAATATATATGATGCTATACTTAAATCTAATATTAATATACATATGTAACTATACTCCTGTTACTAAACTACGACTTAACATATCTACGTAATCCCCATTCTTAACCTTAACCAATAAAAGACAACTGAAGGACTTTTTAATTTACTTATAATGGTTTTGTTTCATGATTTCGTTTCGACTTTTAATTTATTTTACAAATAAATATTTGATTCTTAACTAATACAACTGAAAGCAAATGGATCGAATTGTATATATATATATATATATATATAAATATAGAGTGAGGGAGACCGTATGTAAATGCACGTATACAAAGTCTATATATATATAGGCTATACGCGCGTATTCCGTATTATGTAATGTTGTAAACAATTTTCTGCATATTATCGTCGATTGTTGGTTGATTCGCTTTTCTTTTTCAGGGCGTAGGCGTTGTAGGAGGCGCTTAGAGGGCGCTATAACATTATCCAGTGGGCGACAACAAAATGAAATGATGCATACACATACATACATACATATATATGTGATTACCAAAAGSGAAACAGTAAACAAACATATATATGTACATATACATATATGTATGTATACATCTATAGAACCAAAGTATCCGCGGAGCCAATAAGGCGTCTCGTTGTTTATGTCGGAACAGGAACTGTGTGTGCCTGCAAGGAAAATGCAGTTGGGCATGAACGTCAGGCATATATACGTATATCTATGTATGTTTGTATATTATATAGATATATTGATATCTTAAGTAATCCAGAAGTATGCCAAACAAAAATAACTCGTTTATTGGCCGATCATTGGGATATTGGGATAAGATCCATCCGGATCCGTTCAATGGAATGCCTGAAAGTGAGAGAATTTAAATATAAATAGGAAATAAATTACTTTCCAGATATACATATACATATATGTATATATGTATGTATGTATGTAAGCTAGTAATGGATTAAGTGGAAGAAGCTTCCATTAGAGATGGAAATAAGCAATGCAAAAATGTAAATTAGAGATGGTACAAGAGTGAACGCAGCTTCAATTAGAAATGAAGTAGCAGAACAGTTAACTAGAGATGGAAGCCTCACTTAGAGAAAGGAGCAAGGTACAAAAGCTTCCATTAGAGATGGCACAAACATCAATTAGATGTGGAATGAAGGTAAATGCAAAGTAGACTGATAATTCAGCACTTACTCAGTCAATCCACAAAATGATTGGAACTTGCGGATGGTATTATTTGATGGGACTGTTGAATTTAGATGAATTGGCTTGATCTTTTTCTTGGGGGCAGAGCTTACTGAGGATTTGAAATTACTTGAATGCGTGATGCATGACATGCATTGTGGGCACATGGCCGTCATCGTCCAGTTCCATGATCTGTATCAAGTCCTCTTGCATTAACGATGGTCCACAGATACTCTCGAAGTTATCACTGTCGGCCACTGCCAATGCTGAGCTGATATTGCTACAACTAGTATCTTGATTGATGTCGTTATTATTGTGATTGTCGTTGATATTATTGCTAATAGCATTAGCCTTATTCGTATTGTTATTGTTATTGTTATCATCATTGTGAAGAGTGCTCAGGTCGGTGCTGATGGCAATGGTCAGGTTGTGCGGCGGCAACACCGTTGCCACTTGGCTGGGACGCTCGTGCAACACCTTGATCCAGGGCACCATCAATGAGATGCGATGCCAGCGCCGCGCTGCATGATTCGATGTCGCTCCATTATCGGCCAGTGGCGGCTGATAGGCGGCAACAGTTGTGGTTGCATCCACAGATCTTTGCGCATGCTGGCTTGTTGTTGGCACATCATCAAAGTTGCTGCCAATGCCATAGCCATTGCCGTTGCCGATGTTGATTCTGTTGTCGCCGTGCTGGTCCAATAGCTGCACAGATTCCCGCTCTGTGGGCGGCAGCATGGCCGTGTGCATCTCCAGCTCAGAGTCCATGTTGTTGATTTCCTTGTAGTTGCTGCTGCTGTTGAGTATATTGTTGTTGCTGCTGTCGTTGATGTTGTTGCTGCTCTCGTTAGTAAGATTAATGGTGCTGTCCTTGTTGCTATCATCGATATCGTTGTTCTTGATGCTCATCAAGTGATTGTTGATCAGGTTGTTGGTGTTGACCTTCCGATTGCAGCCACTCACACTGGATGACAGCTCCAGAATGCTCAATGACTGGTTCGTCAGCTGCTGTTCCTCTGGCTGCTCTTGATGCTCTAGCTGCTGCTGCTCTCGCTCTTGCTCTTGGTCTTGCTGCTGCTGCTGCAGCTGTTGCATATACATATGCTGGCGCAGCTGCCGCTGGTGCTCCTCTTGCAGATGCAACTGCTGCGGATCGATGCGCTGCAACCTGCGCTGCTGCTCCAGCTGTAGCTGCTCTTCGTGATGGCGCTGGATTTCCATTTGCTCGAGATCATCGCTGACCGTGTCCGTCCCCGAGATACAGCCTATCACACGCTGCGCCGCTGCCAACTGGCTGCGCATCATGTTGTTGGTGGACCGCGAGTTGCCATATTGCAGACGCTGCCGCAGCATGGCCCGCTTCACCAGATCCGGATGCAATTGACTTTGGCTGGTGGCCGGCTGCATCGGCAGCTGTGCCACCTGCTGCCTGGCATCGACCATTAGCGTTGTGGCCGGCGTATCGTTTGTGACCAGGCGCCGCTGCTGCCGCTGCGTGATCCGTTCAATGTTCGAACGGGACTGGGCATTGCCGTAGCTGATGCGACGTGCGGCCCGCAGACGCCGCTCCTGTGCCTCGCGCCGCGCCTGGTCCGCTGCTCGCATTTTCGCCGTCAGTCGCAGTTCGCTGCGCAAAAAGTAGCCAGCGCCGGTCTCCACCAATTGGGCGTTGTGCCGCGAGATTTCCTGGCCCAGCTCGCGGGCTCGCTCCAGCGCATCGAGGCGCTCGCGCCGCTGCTGCGCCTGCATCGCCTCCGGCGTCAGCGGCACCAGCGCCGCTAGACGACGCTGCTGGGCAGCCGACGTGCTAGGCGACTCATTGATATCCTCGATTTCACGGAACAGACGCTTCAGCCGCACCTGGCGCATCTTCAGCTCGATGGTGCGATCGTTAAACTCCTGGATGCGCTCGTACTCCTCCCGCAGCCGCTGCAGCTGTCCATTGCGACGGCTATTGTTGAACATGCGCCGAAAGTAGGGCGTGCGCTTGATTTGGTACGACATCTTCTCTCTCTCTCTCTCTCTCTCTCTTTTCCTTCTCTTTCGCAATCGATTGGCCCACTCTGCCACTTAATGCGATCGACAAAGCAGAAGTTTCGGTTCACCAATTGGAATGTAATGAATTGTATGTATCTATATATGTATGCAGTATATAGATGCGTGCGTGGGTATTTGTATGTGGTTGTATGTGTGTGTGTGTATATATATATATATATATATCGCGACAATTAGGACGAATAGATATTTTTTTTCCGCTTTTTGTTGCACTTTAAAATTTTGTACGTTACCTAAAAAAAAAAAAAATGATTGTTTGTTGAATGTTGCTGGAACGAAAATGATTTTACTGAATGCCTCCCTGCCGTAGTAGATTCAGGCCTGTAGAATAAAAAAATAAACGCCTACTGCGATCTGGTTACGACTAAATCACATTTAGCTTGATTTATTGAACATTCAGTCGTGCTTAACCTTAAAAAGCTATTACATGTGTATTAAAATTATATCAAGTCTGTATTTGAGGTTATGTTCGAGCATGCAAAATCACACAAAAATGGCTGACAATTACAATCACGTATTACAAAGTTACATCTTACATATACACGCATACATATAATAAAAGAGATTTGCGCAGCTCTAGCTTTCTAGACAAAATGGCGACGCCTGCGTCGTTCACCGCTCGCCCTCTCTGTCCCTCTCACTCTCCTTCTCGCACATTAGTCGCAGAGTTTGTAAATCATTTGCTTTAGCTTATACTCGTCGGCGCCAGTCATGCGGCTCATCTTGCGATTGTTCTTGATGAACACAAATGTTGGCATGCTGCGCACATTGTACATATCCATCAGCTCCTCAAATCGATCCACATTTATTTTCATTATGTCCACCCGGCTGCCATATTTGCGGGCCAGCGATTTTACCACGCTGTCCATTTCCTGGCACGGGCCGCACCAAGTGGCATAAAAGTCAAGTACGACCAACTTACGGTCCGACGCGTCCAGGCGTTTGTAGAACTCATTCATGTTGCGAATGGCGGTCATTTTGAATATTAAATAATAGATTCAACCCAAAGATTAAAGGACAAAATTAACTTGACTTGATCTGGCGAGCAGAAGTAGAACACTAAATGCAGTGCAGCCATTGCTAGAAGCGCTGCGCTTTGCCATTACATATTCATGCAAATCTTTCCCGCGCTTTTATGCAGCACTCACACCCACACATTCAAATGAGCAAACGGTACTTATCCAGCATTTAAGCGTTGCCAGCCTTTCCACAAATAAGCTTCCATTATCGATTAGCGATTAACGATTAGTACACACCGTTGCCGTTTACAGCTATTTTAAAATTGAAAACATAGCTGCCTTCCTTAATATTTCATTTCAGCAGTCTACCTAGCTGGAGAGGCTGACAAATATTCTATATATTTGTGTGCGCACACACAAATTGTTGTCAATTCCTATTCGAAATTTAAGTAAAATCATACAAAAAAGACACACACATACACAAAAACAATATACAATATAAGAAGGGATTTTCAGCCATGGTGCACGTCGTACAAAGCAAAGAGGACTTCGAGCAGCAATTGTCCAATGCCGGCGACAAGCTGATTGTCATCGACTTCTGCGCCAATTGGTGCGGCCCCTGCAAGGTCATTGCACCCAAACTGGAGGAGCTGGCCGCCCAGTATGCTGAGCGAGCGGTCGTGCTGAAAGTGAATGTCGATGACAACGAGGAGATAACCATCGAGTACAATATAACCAGCATGCCCACATTCGTGTTCATCAAGAGCGGCGAAGTGCTGGAAGTATTTGTGGGCGGCAACTCGGATAAGTTGACCAAATCGATGGAGAAGTTTGTGGGCGATGCCGACGAGTCCTTCGACGAGGATTCCCATCTACAGCAGCAGCAGAGCATCTCCTCGGAGAGCGCTGCCAGCGGCAGTACCGTGTGTGATCTCGGCGTGGATATGGACGACCCGCACGACATTCCGCCATGTACGCAGGGTGCTATGGACAAGAGCGGCATCCTGGAGAATTAATTACCCTCTGTCGCAGAAAATCAGTAGAGAACACTAACACACTGCCACCCGACCACTGTATACATTTATGTAATACTAATGACCGAGCGACCCCATGCAAATGGAAACTAATGCCAGTACAATGTGAAGCGAGCAGTAGACTGATCAACATAAACGTTACTTTATGCAAAAACTAAAAGACCGATACTACCTACTCTACACTACACTATACCACAAAGCACAAACTAATGCAGCTGTAGCACTCTGCCTCCCTCTAAATTGTCAATCACCATTAAACTTGATTTGTTGCCAACTTAAGAGCTTGCCATATTTATCCATCATTGTGTGTTTTATTTATGCTAAGTATATTTATATTTATTTTAAATTAGAAGCATTTAATTATTAAAAAAAAAAAGACCCCGACTTTCCTACACTTATGTATGTATATATACATATATTTGTGTATATATTGAGGAAATCTGTGCGCGTCTACTTTTTGGCAAACGTAATTTTCATCGCATGCGTGGGAGTTATTTTGAAGCCCTGGAGCGCCTCTTTGGCTGCGTTGCTCTGCAGCTCGGTGGTGAACTCGACAAAGGCGATGTCGTGCCGGTTGGGCACCAGGCGCACCTCCTTGAAGCCGGGGAATTGATTGAACAGCATGGAGAGCATCATTTCGTTGGTCTCCTCCGGCAGATTGGTGAGGAAAAGGATTTGATTTGGTGGCTGCTCTGTTTGTGTATTCGGATTTGCATTTTCTGCACTGCTCTGCTTCTTCTTCTTGTCCCTGTTTAAATTCGAAATGCAATATGATCATTAGTGATTTCCAATATGAGCGTAATTCATATCATTGATACATACTTTTTCTCCTCGACGCCCGGCACCGGCTTTGGCGGCTTCACCTTCTTTGGCCGCTCCTTGTAGGTGCCCTTCAATTTGGCCACAATATCCGAATCGGACTTGGAGTAGGCAATGCGCATGGGTTTGTCATAGAATGGAAAGCCCTGCATAGTACGCAGCGCATTGGAGGCACTGCCAATTTCCTTAAATATGACAAATGCCTGCCCTCGCATTTTCAATGTTTTCAACGCCACAATATCGAGTATCTGGCCGAACTGTGAGAAGATGGCGTAGAGCGACTTCTTAAGCTCCTCCTTTTTAATCTTTTCATTCAGATTATTTATGTAAATGGTTTGATTTGGACGCACATCCATATTGTTGTTTTAATATGAAGAGCAACGAAAATAAGTGATGAAAAAATAAACGCGTACAAAAATGCTCGTTTGCTCCTAGCTGATTAGTGATGAGAGAGGGTAGTATTTTACTGGCAGTCGCCATGTTTGCGATGGGTACTATATATCGATAAGATTTTCATACCGATACCTGTGATTTTATGTGCAGTTAATTCGTACAGCAAACAATCGATATAATCGTTACTTTTTTCTTTATTTGTTAACATCACCAAATTATACGGTTTAACCAAAATAATCAACACGGTTATTATCAATTAAAGTTCATACATAAGAACATATTTTGTTTGCTATTCCACACACAACGAACGCAAAGATGTCGACACGTCGCCAGGCCATTACATTATATCGGAATTTATTGCGTGAATCCGAAAAGCTGCCTTCCTACAACTTCAGGTGCGAGTGTGAATTGTGAAATAGCATAACATAACATCTCAATTATGACAACTGTCGAAATTTTCTTTTTTACAGAATGTATGCTGTGCGGAAAATACGTGACACATTTCGTGCCAACAAGATGATAAATGATTTTAAAGAAATCGATCGGCAAGTAGCTAATGCCAAGGAAAGTTTGGAATTGATTCGACGACAGGTGAGAGCTTGTGCCGGGTCATTAAATTGGCAAATCAGCTGTAACACCATGTGCATACATGCCTGCATACACATACCTACATATGTACCTACATACAAGCACGTATGTGATATGCCCGGTTGCCCAATCCTTATCGCATTGTGCACGTCATATTTGACGTCAAAATCTCCTAAAGATAATAATGCGAATAGAGAACTATTTTCATTGAGCATGCACTCTTCTACTTGCAGGTAATTATTGGCCATCTTTACACAACCGACAAGCTGGTTATCGAACAGAAAAAGACATTGCGGCCATCAGATGACTGAGAATTTATCATCGCTATCACATGCACAGAGACATACATACATACACACATATATATACATACCACAAGCACGGCATAAGGCAGCTGGGACAATAGCAGCGAAAGACTCGTTAAAATTTGATTGTTTTTGTTGTTGTTGTTTTTGTTAATGTGCAATTTAGTTGCCGCCAAAAGAAATCAAAGCACTGGAGATTTTTAGAAAAACACACCAGTTTAATAATATATATTAATTAAAATGAAACTAATTAAATATTGTACAATTAAGTACCGCCTTAAAGTACTCAAGAAACAAAGTGAGAAGAAATAACGAAATAGAATAGAAATACACTAAGAGGCCAGCCTATTTGTTATTAGAGTATACACAAAAAAAAAAAAAAAAACGGTAAACCGTACTCTTGGAATGTGGTTGGTATCTCTATGCCTGATAGGTGCTGGCCGAAACATTGCCACCGGTGCCCGTCCAATTGGTATGATGGAACTCCCCCTCCCTGTTCACCAGCTCGTAGGTGTGGGCGCCAAAATAGTCTCGCTGCGCCTGCAGCAGATTTGCCGGCAGGGTGGCCGTGCGATAGCCATCGTAGAAGCTCAGGGCCGTGGACAGAGCGGGCACCGGAATGCCCCAGAGGAAGGCATTGGCCACCACCTCACGCCACGAGCTCTGGCCCTGCTGAATGGCGCGCTTGAAGAAGTCGTCGAGCAGCAGATTCGAGAGCGTCGGCTGGCGGGTGTACGCATCCTTGATGTTGCCCAGAAAGACGCTGCGTATGATGCAGCCGCCGCGCCACATCAGTGCGATGCCGCCATAGTTGAGACTCCAGTTGTTCTCCTTGGCTGCCTCGCGCATCAGCATGAAGCCTTGGGCATAGCTGACGATCTTCGCGCAGTAGAGCGCATACTTGATGCCATTCAGGTATTTCTTAATGTCCGGCACGCAGGGCTTGCAGCTGGGTCCTTTCAGCACGCCGCTGGCCGCAACGCGCTCATCCTTCAGAGCGGAGAGGCAGCGCGAGAAGACGGCCTCGCCGATCAGTGTGACGGGCACGCCGTATTGCAGCGCCGCTATCGCTGTCCATTTGCCCGTGCCCTTCTGGCCAGCCGTGTCGCGTATGCGATCCAGCAGATATCCCTCGCTGTCCTTGAAGTTCAATATATCCCGTGTGATCTCGATGAGGAATGAGTCCAGCTCGGTGCTGTTCCACTGGCCAAAAACCTCCGACATTTGAGGCGACGTGAGCCCCAGCTTCTTCATGATGTGGTAAGCCTCGCAGATGAGCTGCATGTCGCCATACTCGATGCCGTTGTGCACCATCTTCACAAAGTGGCCGGCGCCCGCATCGCCCACCCACTCGCAGCAGGGCTCGCCATCGGCCTTGGCGCAAATGGCCTGGAATATGGGCTTGATCAGTGGCCAGGCAGCCGCATTACCGCCTGGCATTAGAGATGGCCCATTTCGTGCGCCCTCCTCGCCGCCACTCACGCCAGAGCCGACGTAGAGTATGCCCAGCTTCTCCAGCTCTTCGCAGCGTCGCGTAGTGTCCTGGTATTCCGAATTGCCGCCATCAATAATGACATCGCCCGGCGACAACAGCGGCACAAGCTGGCCAATAAAATCGTCCACTGCACTGCCAGCTGCCAAATAGAAGAATGTAAACTGGTATTAAAAAGGCAATCTCAGAGATGGCCGCGAGCCCACACACTAGTTGGCTGATCGTGCAAAATGCATGTAAGGCCACCTCCTAAGGTTAATCTAGTGATGGGACATGCGCTGATTAGAGTGTCACTACGTCATCGAGTGACATATGCAAATATTACAAATATTGCTTATTAAAGTTTAATATTACAAATATTTTTAATAAATCCTACAGCTTGCAATATTCTCTTTTTTTTTTTTACTTAAGTGAAACGTGCTTTTATTTGATTTTCTTTCAGTTTTCTAAGCCGTCAGCTTTTCACCTCTAGTTGTAATAGCAGTGCATAAAATTGACCTTGAACTGAGGTCAGCCCAAAGTCGTCAGTTTCTGCGCTTTGACGAGATAATGGTAACTTGCTTCTTGATTGCTTGACGGCAGCTCTTATCGCCGGCATTGATCTTCACCCAAGTGTTCAGTACCTGTTCAGCAACGTTTGTCAATGCCTTTAACCTAATGAATGTCACGGCACATACAGAAGGCAGTGTAAACTATGCATAAATTGCACTGTTTACCATTCAGCCATAAAGATGCATGCGTATTGAGCTTAAACGATATATTTCTAAATGATAATTATCGATAGCGTACATATGGCAATGGTAAACAAAAACAAATTGCAAACCATATATGATGGCGTTCTTTCGCTCTCTTTCACTCTCTCTCTGAGAGAGAAAGAGCGGCAGTAAGGGAGCTTAAAGCAAACGCTCTCTCTCTGACTGGCTGTTGTTGTATTTGACGCATGCTATGCAATTTTTGTGTGCATGACTTTGCTTTGACTTCCACACACGCAAACACACACAGACACGCACAGGCGCACACACTTACATTGCCTAACGATCACTTCACGCCATTCACTCCACACTATTACAACAATGCCTTACCCTTGACCAGCAACATGACTTTGCGTGGCGTTTTCAGCTTGTCGACCATGTCCTTCAGTGATTCGGCGCCAATCACTTTCGTGCCTTTGGCCTCGTTGTTTAGAAAGTCATGCACCTTCGATACGGTACGATTGTACGCACAAACCACGAAGCCCTTCTCGTCCATATTCAGTATGAGATTTTGACCCATGACAGCCAGGCCAATGAGTGCAATATCAGCTTTCCTGTATTATCACAAGAACAACAAGAAAAGGCAAAAAAAATTAAATCAGCACGTAACTAATGACAAATAATACAAAAATTTTGCTTACCCGCTCATATTTGTTTTATTTTTACTTAATGATTTATGAATATAGTATTGTAAATTTTACGCAAAACTTGTTTATTTCTCTGCGCTTTCGTCACCTTCCCCTCGCTTTTGACGTCCGGCCGCTTGCGCTCGCCAACTGAAACTGACGAAACGTTGCCAAAGCGTACACGATAAATGCCGAAAAAAGTAAATAAATCCGACAAGCTTTACACTAGTGATGCGTATGTAAGCGTTACAACGGCGTGTCACGCAGACGCTCGATATGTGCGGATTGTATTAAATTGGCAAAACTTTAATTGCAAGTTAAGCAAATAATTTAATAATTTAATAAATTAATAAATTATATAGAACACAAATAGTTTACATGTTAACAAACACAAATATTCATAAAAAATTTAGAAAAACTATAAATTGCGATATACGTCATATAAAATTTAAAGTTAGTCAACTATTATTAAAATGTATGAATTTTGYTTTCGTTGATTTATTATATACAATTTATTTTAAGTTAACTTATTATTTTCATATTTTTATTATTACCTGTATAACACCGGCTCATCTCATATTCTCAACTCCTCACATATATCAACCCACTTTTTTTTACTACTACGTGCTCATCACCTAATATCTACTTTTGCGCTACGTTCATCTCTAACTGTGTGCAGCTTTTTGCACGATCGCAGCAAACGAAAACTTTTTCAAACTCCACCTTGAGCCGCCCTCCACTTATCGATATTCGCTATCGATAGGCACGGGCGCACAAAAAATGCAATGAAATGAAAAAGCACAAAGCTAAAGTAGACAAGCAAACAAATGCACATTTATTAAAAGCTTTTTTACATATACATACATACATATAATTAGAAAAAAAAAAAAAAATATAAAAAAGCAAGATTTCGAAGTGCATTTAGTTCAACATTTTATAGGGATTCAGTATGCCATTGGGATCGAACATCTTCTTCATGTCGCGCATCCATTGGATGGCAACGGGATTCTTGGAATAGTGCAAATAGTCCTTTTTGAGGAAACCAATTCCGTGCTCCGCACTGATGCTGCCCTTCAGCTGTGAGGTGTATTCGTAGACGAACGGCTCGACGCGCTTGTAAATTTCGTCGTTGAACTGCTCACAGGACACATTCAGATGCAGATTCGAGTCGCCAAGATGCCCATAGCCACAAACCACGGTGGCCAGGGGGCCGCAGCGTTCGCGCATCACGTCCACGATGTTGTAGAAGTCGCGCAACGGCAGCGATATATCATATTTGAA